AAAACAAATCTTCACCAGCAACAAGATCATCACGAAGCTTCGTTACGTAGCTCGTACTTAACCTGTTGTGGATTAATTGTATAAATATATACTCGACCGTAAAAAAAAAAATATTTGCCAGTAGTAACTTCATGAGAAAATTTGTTTTCCCTACCCAGTTCCTCCAACGATAAGACCACGACAATTTGGAAGTTTATTGTTATGTTTTTTTTTTACCAACCGCTCTGTATCAAAATTTACTATCGACGATTTTGCCATTGTTGTTATACAATTTTATATTATATTAAACTGAATAATGTTAACAGTCTTGTAGGATAATAAATAAATACAAAATTTGGAACAACATTCATCAGCTGTAGTAAATAATAAACAGTAAATAATAAACGGTAATATTGATTTTTATCAGGTTACCTAAAAAAATCTGGGGACATAATGATAGTGAACCTGTCCATGCCAAATCAGCGAGTAATAGATTTAGAAATAGAGTATTTACCAAAACATTTTGTTGAAACACAAGCTTTTAATTATGCACAACTAAAATCCGTCGACGGTAATAATCTAGATAAATATCGTGGAACTTTAAATGGCAGCTTAGATATCTCAGCGAAAAAATATAAATTAGAGTCTGGATATCCACCAGCAAACTTAAATCAGACTCAAGCGGTAAGTTATTTACAGCTGAGGTATGTGGATGATAACAAGTTGTCAGCGACAGGCGAAACTTTAGGCGACAACTTGGAGATGTCAGGAAAACAATTATAAATTTAGAGACTGGATATCCACCAGCGAACTTAAATCAAACTCAAGCGGTGTGTTACTTACAGTTGAATAATGTGGGTAATAACAAACTTGATAAAACCGGTGGAACACTTACAGGTAATATTAGCATGTCAGGTCAACGAGTGTTAGGTTTAGAAACTGTTTATTCGCCAGCAGAGTTAACGCAGATATAAGTTACGCACAACTAAAATCTGTTGACGATAATAAACTTAACAAAGTCAGTGACACAATGACAGGTAACCTGTCTATGTGAAATTCAAAAACAACTGGATTACCGACAACATCGCCACCAGCTAATGATACTAATGATGTTAGTTATGCAAAGTTGAAAGAAGAACTTACCCCATATTTTACGAAAAATGTTCGGCCAGTGAGAGGTAACATAAACATGAAATATAAATAATAACTACGACATATGTTTAACCTTAATAATATAACAAATAAAGCGTATGTTGCTAGTCTATCTAGCGGTGTAAAACGGACTAAAAACAATGTTAACTATATTCCAACATTTCTAAGGCAACTGAAAACCGAGTTGAATTTGAGGTACGCACATCAGCATGTTATCCTAAAAATTATCCTTATTACGCTTTCTCTGATAGACACTAGTTGACAACCAACGAAGAAGTTCACAATTTTTGGATTAAAATTAAATATCCCATTGAACTCGCTATTTGGCAATTTAATTTGCGAGGTCGATTAAACTCCAGCATTGGTCGAATTTATAATTGGCAATAAGAATGATCAAGCGATGATATCGACTGGACATTACATAGTGCAGTAAATACGTATATGAAAACAGCACGATATTTTATAATCCGGACAGAAAATATTATCAAAAGGCACTTATATTTTATAGTTAATGTTTTCGCTGCCGAACATCCGTTTCCAGGACTAACAGCATTTCAAATATATACAATCGATGATCAGGCATGATCATTGTGAACAAATTTAATCTAATGGTATAAAATAATGTCAGAACCACAAATTATAATTGTTGCGTGGGAATTTTATGATAATATTTTTAATACAGAAAAAAATGTTAGGAACATATCATCAAGTGAGATAAATACTATGAAAAATTTAAAATTCCAATGATAAATTCTCCATTGTTGAAAGTAGAATTTTTTTGACTCCTATTATACGCATGAGAAAACCATAACTGAGACAAACAGTTAGAAACTTTGATATAATAAGCGTCATCCTGTCATCATGATGATTGTCTGAAAAAACAAAAACAAGTTGAAATCTTATTTACAAAAATGTCGCTAGAGCTTGATTTTGTAAATATAAATTTGATAATGAGATCAGGTTTATTAAAAACACGGGTAGCGCAGGTGGAAAATACAAATGAACGATACCTATGATCGTCTCGACAAACTATCAGAATCAGGGATGATAAGAATAAAAAGAAATAGAAAATTATATAATGGTTTTTCAAAACGAAACATTTTTAAACCTCTCGGCATGTACTACCATGACAAAGGATCACTAATCGTTACTATGTCACCAGACACGGAGTTACTTATTAAAGCATACTCAAACGCAATTTTGCCAGTGATACGTTAAAAAGACCCAGAATTTGCGCCGATTATTGTTGATAAGACTCTACAAATAATCAAAGATTTTGACGATGAAATTTATTATATTAATGATATTGAACGAGAAAGGTATTTTTAATTTGATACATAGAAGATAAATTAATTTGAATTGTGCAAAAACCCTAATTTAAAATGTACTAAAATCGAAATTCAATAAACTTAATACAAGAAACACACAGTGAAATAAGACATGATAAAATTAAATACCTTCAACTTTTGACAATAGGGGGTTCCTCATATGAAGTTAATTTGAGAGGAACCACACCAATAAAGCTTAAGGACTTGCACATCTTCAGCTGTAGAGGTATGTAAGTCTTTTGTTTATTTCTTGTGTATATTTTAAGTTATAGCTATGTACGTACTGTCACGTTTATTTTTGTATGTTTTCAATTTAGCTTTGGCTTGCGTAGTATAACATTTTCTATCCTTGTGTGTGACTTAGCAAGAGATTTATATTAACAATATAAAGTTGCATTTCATTTAGAAACGTTTAGTATCTTGGGAATATTATCGAACACAGGTCCATTTCTAAACCTGTTTGTGGTTTTTACTGCAGTACCGAAAATGTAATTTGTATAACTTGTCATATATAACGTCATTATGTATTATCGTATATACCCGTGTTATGTATAGTAAACGGTGTTGGATGTATTTTCAGCTACTGAGTGATCGATGCCGATTGTAGTCGACGGGGTAACAGCTACAGAGCAAACCATAAAAAGGCGACCATATCAGCTGCAAAGCTAAACCATAGCAGCCGTAGAGCTGAGTGAACAGTATTTTTAGTCGTGTTGCAGGTAATTGTGCGTTGCTGACCTAATTGATGGGTGTTGATTGCTTGATTGAACAAGGAATTGAATGGTGGTCGGTGACTACTATAATGATGCTTGCTTGATTGCCAAGTGCTATACAAGTGTAATATTGACGGGAGTCTTTTGTGTTACGCCATTCATGTTATCTTTTAACCGTGAGCTAATTTGGAGTTTTGTTATACCCAGTGTTTAGGGCGTGTAAAGATATTTTTTTTAATGATATCTTTTCAATTAATTCATCATTTTACTATTTGAGTTAAATACGTCAGTTTTCACTATTTCAGCTACTACATTATTTTTACTATTGAGTAAAACACGTAATTCTTTTCATCATATGAAATTATTGTGAATCGTTCACCTTTGCCATTGTACTGTGTAAAGTCATTTTTTGTATTTATATTTGTTGCATTTTTAGGTTCGTGAGTATTATGTTAATTTGTCCAATATTTGTATCTTATACACGGATGCATTAATCATAATTCTTTCTCATTCAAGTCATGCATCATAAAACATCGTATTTGTATCGCCATTAAGTATACTGTTGTAAATCCGAAAATCCATCTCAGTTATATTGTTGCAAATGATGTCCGTCGTGGGATCAGTAGTGGGATCATCTCGGATTTAACCGAGCACTATTATTGTTTCATTATTCTTGTATGGTTTTTTGTTGTATTTTTCTTGTATATATATATATATATATATATATATATGTGTGTGTGTGTGTGTGTGTGTGTCCGTGTCATGCAGAAACGTTTAGTACCATAGGAATCTTGTCAGAGAAATCTGAAATTTTGTGCTAAAATATTGCACTCTTTATGATAGTTTGGAGTATTGGTTTAAAATCGTAACGAAGACGCATGGATAAAAGAAAATTGTCTTTGCTTGTATTATGTATTAAGAAACTATACAATCCCCTGTGAGTATCAATACAGACATGGGGACTGGTTAATTGTATTACAAGCAGACATGCCGATTTTGCAGAAAATTCGATAATTGTTTCTAACACAATATCTGATTTTGAAAGTCTTTTTGTTATAATTTAAATTAACACTTTTGTAATTAGGTCTTTGTAAGTGAATGATTTTAACCAAATCGTCTTAATGAGTTTAGCTTGTTTGGTAAATCTTGTTAGTTTTTGGGGAGGTGGGGGTGGCACAGACTAAACCTGTGATTAACATTTGTTCTCTTAAAGATAAGTTTCTAATGATGTGAATTTGTTGGGTTTTTTTAACTGTGATAGAAAATGTTTACTTTGTATAACATGCAACATGCATATGGATTGCGATCAAACTGATTATTCCGTTTTCTTTACAATTAAAGATTTGAATGGAAACAAACTAATTTATGCTTAGTATGTTATTGTTTCAGCATCCCGAAGTAATGCAGTTCAGCAAAATAAAGTTAGCATTTATTATCTGTTAACTGAAATGACTTTCCGTACCAGTTTATTGAATGTACGTTATTCAAACTTTTTTGTGAAAAAATATAGTGGTTTAGTGCATGATCACATATTTGATTCAGATCTTTTGGAGTGTCATGAAATAGTAACATATTTTTTATTTTAAGAATGAATGTTTAATAAGCTAACGTGTTCTTTATAACGTTCAGTAATGTTCACATATGAACCTTGCAAAATAAATTTCATCCTGGACAAAACCTAGACAAAAATCGAACATGTTTCATTAAAAAGGAGAGTGAATCATGTTTATAATATTATGATAGGTTTGTTTATTTTGGAACAGCTTCATCATAATTCAGTAAAACTAAAGGACACCTACTTCATAACCAGTTACCTCTATCAAGGACCGGTCCAATGACCTTAGTGGTTAGAGCTTCCGCCCCGGATGCGGAAGGTCGTGGGTTTGATATCCGGCTGAGTCATACCGAAGACTTTAAAAAATCATACTAACAGCTGTCTCGCTTGGCGCTCAGCATTAAGAGGCTAGTGTTAGGACTGGTCGGCCAAGTGTCAGGATAATGTGACTGGGTGGGACATCATGCTACATGTATATGGCATGATGACCCAGTGCTAGACACCACTATAAACTGCCACACAGTAGACATTGTAGCGATATGACTGAAAAATTGTTAAAGCTACGTTGAAAATCCAAATCGCACACCCCAACCCACCCCTCTATAAAGTGTGTGGAAATGCTTTTAAATGGAAAGGATTTATTGACTTCTTTTTTATCTCTGTTGTCAAATTGTATGTAATGTATTTCATATTTATTCAACATATTTTCTGCTAATCTTTATTTTTGTTTGTTTTGCTGTTATGGAAGAAGGAGCGAAAGTGAGGTGTGTGAGAGAGATTGAGGGTTAATGTTACTCAAGACTTTGTATATTTAGATAGGACAGGAATGCTTCAAAATATGCTTTCTTGTGACGTAAGTGAGTAGGACACGTGCCAATCCACCGAAAACATGGTGAAATTGATATTTGGTCCTATCAGATAAATAATGCGACTATCCATTAGTCTGGTTATATCTTTCGTATGCCCCCTGCGTTGCACTTAGCTTATATAGCGAAACTAGACTAGTGTTAATTTAAAATCAACTTGTAACTTTCCAGAAAGGTAGCTGCACCTAATGAGAGTCAACTTGCACGTCTATCTTAAACTAAGGACGCAGATACAGCACCGATCATAACTGCGGTTGGTTTTTGTTCACATACATAAAAGTACAGCCATCCATTAAAGCTACGCATCATAGAAAAATGTCACATAACTGAGGTCTAAATTGCAAGAATGATGATGGAGTAATCTTCTGGAACATTAAAAATAACGTGGATAACATAATTTTGTTTTAGATTTTCTGGGCCGTTAAGTTTTACCTTGAATAGACTATAATAGTTGAAATATATTGTTTAAGAACTTGGTTTTCTACCATAAAACCAGACTTTGCACATTAAAGTCGAGGGCGATTACTAGCATTGCTGATGTTATCGTCACGAAGTATTATCGCTCTGTTTAAAGAAAGTGTTATTTCCATGTATGTTGTTGTTGTGGGGCTTAACGCCATTTTTTCAGCACAAGATATTTCCATGTATGGTTATGTTCACGATTGTTTCTGTTTCTGTTTATATAAGAAATATTTCAAGGAAAGGTATAAAGCATCGTGTTCTCTCTAATTCCTTAAGGGTTTTGTTTAGCGTTATCTAGGAACGAGGGACTACAGTATTATTGCCTGGATCGAGTAAACAATAAAAAGTATGAAATTAATGGATGGAATAGCAGAGATCTGAAAAGAGATATGGAACTGAACAACAATAGATCCCCCTCCCGCGTAAAATATAACACAATAATCAGTTACATAAATAAAAATATATAATTTAACATTATCTTTCAATGATTCGTTTTCTCTTACAGAGTTAACAAATTTATGCGAAATTCAATTAGCCATTTTGTTACACCGATAAAACAAATGTCATCTTATAATTGAGTGCTTGATTGAACTCAACGTGCCCGCATGTTAGCATCACCTGGTTGTTTTCTTTTTTTTCCAAATCACTGTTGGTGGTAGGTAGACAGTGACATTTTTGTTTTTCTTCCTTCTCTCTCTCTCTCTCTCTCTCTCTCTCTCTCTCTCTCTCTCTCTCTCTCTCTCTCTCTCTCTCTCTCTCTCTCTCTCTCTCTCTCTTTCGGATCAACAACCGGGGCTTGGTTGTAGACTGTGGGGTTTTTCACTGTGCTGTACAGGTGTGGAGCTATTGTTTCTTCAAATAATTATAATACTCAAACTAAACACGTTTGAATTATTTTTTCCCCTAGCATCCCACTCTTTTTTAAGTCAGATTTGTCCGTTGTAATTCAACAGAACTAAGCTATTGTCTATTCGCATAAATTATCCGACCATCATAAATGGATGTCTTTTCTAGTTGCTCCACGCATATCTAACTAGAATTATGACATAATTAAACCTCTTTAATAACTAATACTGCACCCTGTGTTCTGTAAATCACTAGCTGACGTTGTAGGTTAATGTGCGTCCCTGATGCTCACACCACCGATTCTCGGTTGAAAAGAATTCACAACTTAAATAAACAAACGAATTAATGGACTCCTTGTCCTAACTACGTTATTTTGTATGTTGAAAGAAATAGCTAGGACAATCATGTAATTTAGTTATACCTGTCCCACAAAAGGAAGATTCGCAGGAAGGAATTCAGCTGGATTCTACTAACCTTTGAACAACAAGTCTGCAGAATTCGGAAGTTTTAGAAAATCAAGATCAGAAACTTTCTCATTTGCAATATCAAGAAAAAAGTGAACTTAAAAAATTATTGTCTGAATATAAGCATTGTTTTCCAGACGTGCCTACAAGGACAAACAAATTTTTTCACGACGTTGAAATAGTAAATTCGAAACCCATGAAAGAACACCCATGCAAGATGAATCCTTTTAAACAGCAATATATGAAAAAAGAGATTTAATATTTACTTAACAATGGTTTTATAGAGTCCAGTAAGAGTGATTAAAGTTCACCTTGCATTCTTGTTCCAAAACAGTATAAAACTTTTCGAATGTGTACCATTATAGGAAGGTGAATAGTGTGACAAAAACAGACTCTTTTTCTATGCCAAGAATTGATGATTGTATCGACAAAATTGGAAATGCCAAATATGTCACTAAATTCGACCTTCTGAAGGGCTTTTAGCAAATTCCCCTAACGGAAAGATCAAAAGAAATTTCGGCATTTGTGACTCCAGATGGACTCTACCAGTGCAAAGTGATGTTTTTTGGGATGAGGGGTTCTCCGAGTACTTTTCAACGCCTTATGAATATGATTACTTCTGATATAGACAACTGTAATGCATACATTGATGATGTCATCTTTTACAACAACACCTGGAAGGAACATCTAACTACGATTCGGAAGTTCTTCGACAGACTCACGGATGCAAATCTGACTATTAATTTATTTAAAAATGGGTTCTGCCGTGCATGTGTTACTTTTCTAGGACATGGTCAGATTAAACCTATCGATGCTAAGGTCAAGGCTATTTCAGAATTTCCAGTGCCTGTCAATAGAAAACAACTGATACGATTTTTAGGTATAGCTGGGTACTTTCGTAAATTTTGTTCCAATTTTTCTGATATTGTTGAACCTCTAACGAACTTGTTGAGATAGAAAAACAAATTTCTTTGGAATGAAAACTGTCAAGAGGCTATCGATAGACTAAAAGCCCTACTTGAAAGTGCACCAGTTTTAAAAGCTCCAGATTTCAGTCAGCCTTTCAAACTATCTATTGATGCGAGTGATGTTGGGGTTGGAGCAGTTTTGCTTCAATATGACCAGAATGGTCTTGAACGCCCAGTGTGTTATTTCTCTAAGAAATTAAATAAACACCAGAGAAACTACCCAACAATCTAGAAGGAGTGCTTAGCTTTAATGCTAGCATTACAGTACTTCGAAGTTTATGTTAACTCGGCTTCTTCTCCGGTTGTTGTGTTTAGTGACCACAACTCCCTCACTTTCATTGGCAGAATGAAAAAAAAAATCAGAGACTGTTGAGATGGAGTTTATTTTTACAAGAATACAGTCTTGATATCAGGCACATAAAAGGAAAGGATAATTTAAATGCAGATGCACTTTCACCTCTGTAGAAATATCAATTTCATAAATTTATAAGAGTTCTTCTTATATGAATTTTTACCTTATGTAGAATTTACATCTGGTAAAAAAGAAAGTTTTATTACATAAATCTTTCCTTTTTTCTTTAAGGGGAAAGATGTTAAGACTCTGTACATTGAAGTGTGTATGTTAAGGAATGAATTTTGTATAATAAATCTTTTATTTCATTAAATTTCATTAAATGTCACTATTAATAAGAATATATTAATATCAGTCTAATATGTTGTTAAAAAACATCGTGTTTACTCGAGTCGTAAATGTGACTCATGTGAGCACGTTCTGTGTATGATGGCAAATTCATTACAAGTAAACATTCAGGAATAGCTATGAAAACGATTGGCTGATATTTGGTCAGGCTTTTCTAATGTCCAGATGTATTACAAAATTGCATGCGTCCTCCCTGCGCGTGTAATTCAAATAACGTATTAGCTTCCTTTATATGTTGAGGTATTTTTGTAATAGTCGACAGTCGTAGATTCAGAGTAGGAGTTTGTTGTAACATCTTAGAGTTATACAACTTCTATTACCTTAAAAAGGGTATTGTGCTAGAAATTGTCTGTTCGTATGTCTACATAGAACAACATGCATTTTGTTAGTGGAACTAATTTTACATCGTTTTTTCTGAATAATTGTTTTTCTGGAGAGCAACATTACTGGTTTAGTCAACGACATTTTCTGAAAATATTCTGAATTCGAACGGAACAATACAAATTGTGCTTTACTATGTAAATTCTGGATTTTTTTGTTGGCTCTCGTCTGACGTCATCATCCGCCATTTTGAACTGGAATTAAACTTCAGACTGTTTATTTAAAACCTTTTACAGGACTTGTGTTCATCTTTAGAACAAACAATTTGGATCATTTCGGTAAATCGCAAGTCTTGTTTTACATATCTACAATTTTTTTCATATTTTCTAGGAAAATAAAGTATTGTTGTCTTCACTCTTTTCACTCTTTCTTTGTTACTCTGAACGAGCCGATACATAACAAACCTTAGTTCAGTTATCATACATACATCCTTCCCATATATGACAGTCCCATAATAAGAATTATAAATTGAGGTAAGACGATTCCAAACCCCATGACATATTTCAAATGGCTGCATCGTAATTAGATAACCGCAGGTGATATCTTCAAAGTCTAAAAATATCCCAAAGTTGAAGGCCTTATCTCAAACAGTGTGTGAGGGGTTGTGCGAAATTAGTTGCATGCATGCACACAAGGATTGGTATGGATAACAGAGGACAT